TGCTAGCTAGGATTTGGAACAAGATTAACTAAACTGAGCATCCTGAAATTTTGGAGGACTTGTTCGGAAAGATCTTGGCTTTCTGATTTAATAATAACATTTTTTTAAAAATGCCTTGTTTCACTTGATCTCTGCTTCTCCATTGGGGACCAGCCGTGCCACTGGCTGAACTGGGCCTATGTGCCGTGAACATGAACACCATCTCTTCTTCATCTGGTACCATTCTCCACCTTTCTGCAGGAATTTTGGACTTTTAACTTGAGAATCCTTGCTTATTTTCCATGTTGATGGGCTTGGGAGTTGGAAGACCCAAATCTCAGGAGGATCAAGGGTAGAGGACCAACAAGGGACAAAAAAGCCTTTGTGTCTTTTATTGGATCATCCAGTTTGTTTGCGTTGACTTGAAAGCAGATAGTGTGCGCTCCAGGTTCGATCACAGCAATGCTGGTAGGATGTTTCACTATTTCTTCAGTTCAAATTCCCCTGCTGCAAGATTGCATTTGCAGATTCCATTTGGGTTGAGAGCAGGTAGGAATGCAAGAAATTACATATGCCTGTATTTTTCCCTACTGTGAACCTTCTAGCAGCTTCGTTTGCATTAGAGAAAGACATTGGTCCAAAACACACTGCAGAAATAATCCAGTTTGTGACCGCTTTAACTACCCTGGCTCAGTGCAAGGGAATTCTGGTATTTGTAGCTTTGTGAGACATTTAGCCTCTGTCAGAACACTGGCGCCACAATAAACTACAAATCCCAGGATTCCCTAGCACAGCCAGGGCAGTTAAAGTGATCTAAAACTGGATTATTTCTGGAGTGTGTTTTGGACCATAGTGTCTTTCTCAGCACTTGCTTTAAAGTTTAGGTGGACGGGAGGAGTTAAAACTGTTTGTTAGACTATCATTTGTAACAAGTTGCCATGTAAGTTTTACTAGCACAGCTCTTGTGCCTTTCAAAGGAGACAATCTCCATTTTCCATTAACTCCCTGTCAGAAAACCCTGCGGTAGGTTTGCTGAGCTGAGTGTAAACTAAATTTGCAGTTTGAACTCAGTTTGCAGCAATGAAAGAAAGCTGGGAACAAAAACAAAAGGCTGGAGGAGGGGAGAGAAACTGGGACATTTTAAAAGCAGCTAAAAAAGTGGGACAACACAGGATTAACTGGGACTATCTCTGCTAAACTGGCACAGTTGGAGAGTAGGATTGAGTCGCCATAGTTCAAAGCTGGCTTGATGTCAATTAACAATTCAGAGTGTGTCTACACACAAGAAATAAACCAATTTGACACCGTTTTAACTCCAATGACACAAATGTTGCGGGATTCTGGGTTTTGTAGTTTTGTGAGATATTTAGCCTTCCCTGTCAGAGAGCACTGGTGTGACAACAAACTACAAATCCTAATATTCCATAGCATGGAGCCATGGCAGTTAAAGTGGTGTCAAACTGGATTATTTCTGTGGATGCAGCCCTACAGCAAACCACCTGGGTGACCTTGGCAAGCCACACTCTCTCAGCCTCAGGGGAAGGCAATGGCAAACTTCCTCTGAAGAAATCTTGCCAAGAAAACATCATGATAGCTATGCCTTGGGGTTGCCATATGTCACACTGTCTCAGCCTTAGGAGGAGGCTAGGATAAAATCTAATCTCAAGAAAACTTTCTTTTGCAACTTTGTGAGACATTTAGCCTTCTCTGTCAGAGCTCAGGTGCCACAACAAACTACAGATCCCACGATTCCGTAGCATTGAGCCATGGGAGTTAAAGTGGTGTCAAACTGCGTTATTTCTGCAGAGTGACAACAGTCAAAGTAGATTAGAATTATTTTAGTTCCATTTCCGGGTTTGGCTCTAAGGGACCACTCTAGGAATTCTGTTGTCAATAGTCCAAGGAATTTGAAGGAGTAAAGTAGAAAAGTGGCACAGCCTGAGACTTCCGGTTACCATTCAATGCCTCCATGAGGCACTCCATGCCCATGGGACTCGTACCGCCTCTCTATGGCTTAGCTACAGATTTGT